GATTTTTTCTTCTAATCAGGTTAATTTTTTTTTATCATAATACTGAAAGTGCCATTAAAGAAACAGACTGGCTGAGTCAGGAGAAATTTCCCTTTTGTTAAGTTATTTTTAGCAACAGCTTCTTTTTTTTGTAAGCTGCAGCCTTGTGTTGAGAATTAAAGCCACAAAGCTCCTCAAACTGAAAAGTGAGAAAAATATGTTAAAGGCAACATGATTAAAGCAAAACAGTGAATTGTGGAAATACATTTCTGACCTCTTCTTCTTCTTCTTCTTCTTCTTCTTGTCGAGTTTTATGGCGGTTGGCAACAAACTGCTAGTAGCATTACCGCCACTTACTGGTATGGAGTGTTGTTCGTGATGGTTTAAATATTTATCCTGATACACTCTACCCTAACTTCTTCTAAACATACATTCACACTTAAAAATATAAACATATTTGTGCACAGCTTTGTATATCATTCCTTCACTCACAAACACACTTACTATAATTAACTTCTATGAAATAATTTCGTTTTCTTTAGAAATCGAATAATTATTTGTATGTGTTTACTCCCTAAATTTTTCCTCAGTATATCTAATAAATTAACCTTCTCCTTAATGTCTTCAAACTCTCTTCTCATATATCTTCTCTCTTTTTCATATTTATGACATTCTAATATAACATGTTCTATGGTTTCATATTTATCACAGTAATCACATTTGCCCGTTTTATGTTTTTGTATTTTAAAAAGTGTATAATTAAGTCCTGTATGACCAAATCTTAACCTTGTTATCACTCTTTCCTCCTTTCTATTTCTTCTTCCATTTCTTCTTTCTCCTACCATCTTCTGAATTTTATAAAACCATCTACCTGTTTTATCTTCATCCCACCTTTTTTGCCAAACTTCCATAAGTTTCTCTTTAATAATACTCTTTCCTTCTGATTTACTTATTTTAACTATAAAACTAATAGAATGTTTAATTGCCCCTTTTGCCATTTTATCTGCCCTCTCGTTTCCTTCTACCCCAATATGTGCTGGAACCCACACAAATGTAACTATCAGCCCCATGTTTCGTATTCTGAACAGTGTATGATATATTTCTAATAAAATGTCCATCCTACTATCTGTTTGGTTATTTTTTAAACTTAACAATGCAGAGCTTGAATCTGAACATATTATTGTTTTTATGTCTTCTACCCATTGTAAAGCTAATAATATTGCCAACATTTCTCCTGTGTATACTGATAATCCATCTGTAATTCGTTTTCCTATTTTTATATTGAATTCTGGTACTACAAATGCTATTCCTAGTTTCTCAGTTATTTTTGATGCATCAGTATAAATTTGAATATATTGATAATAACTGTCGAAATGTAACTGTACTAAATTAATATCTACCGTGTACGATTTATCTTGTTTCTTTTCCATTAGTGACATATCTACTGTTGCTTCTGGTAGAATCCAGGGAGGTATAATTGATATTGGTGTTGTTTGACTCATTTCTAAACTATTCATTTTAAATTTTTTTATTTTATTTTCAATTGTCCATCCAAAACTCCTCATTTCTTTCTTTTCTTTTTCCCAGCATGGATTTAAAATGTCCAAAGTTGGGTGATCCACATTATTTCCTTGTAAATTTAACCAGTAATTAATTTCTAATTTTGTTCTTCTTAAATCTAATGGCATTTCTCCCATTTCTATTTCTAATGCTGCTGTTGGTGTGGTTTTAAATGCTCCAGTACATAATCTTAGTGCCTGATGTTGGATAATGTCTAATTTAGTTAGATGTGTTTTAGCTGCTGAACCGTACACTAAACAACCAAAGTCTATGGGCCGGATCTATCAAAGGTTTGCGTGTATTAAAACGTGAGCTATTTCACTGCGCACGCTAAAAAATTTACAAACTGATCTATCAACAGCGTGCTAAAAGCATTTGGTCTTTAAAACGTGCTAAATAGCGCCTCTGATCCATTTAGTACTTTTTCTGCAATGAATATGCAATATGGGGCGTTTACACGCTAAAGTGCGTCTTGTGGGAGGAGAACATGTAAATATATTAATTTAGCACTCGCAAAGTGATTTATCAAACTTGAACGCAATTTTGCTAACGGTATCTGACTCTATATTTAACACGTTTCAAAAGAAGGTGCAAATGGTCTGTATGCGTAATTGCGCACACATGGCAGCAGTTATTGTCGCAAGGAGACATGGAAATAAAGCAAGGAGACGCAGAGAACGCATTTTTTCACTCCGTGTGAATATTTTTGCAATGAACGAGGAAACGATCATCAAAACATATCGTTTATCCAGCATTGCCATTTTGGAGCTGTTGGGGGAACTCCGAATGGATTTGGAGCCAGCCGCAAGGAGGACCCACGCAATACCAGATATCACAAAACTCCTTGCAACATTGCACTTTTTTGCATCTGGGTCATTCCAGCGTACGGTTGGAGCGAGAGCTGGGATCTCCCAATCTCGTTTTTTCAGAAGTGCTGTCCGACGGGGTCGGGGTTCTCCCCCTGCGCCTGTGGAGCAACGTGCCAAATGCTGCGGGGATCCCATCCACAGTCACAGGCCAATACAAAACACCTGTTTTTTTTTGTTTTTTTTTTTTTCTTTTTACTGCAGCACATACCACCTTAGGGAATAAAGGTTGCCAATTTATAAATATATATATATATATTTACTTATTTTTTTTTTGTTGGGGGTCACTGTAATATTTAAATTTCTTAATGCACTAGTTTGTACAGACTACAAACTACTTTGCCGCAAACCACAAAACGCGCAAAACCATCATTTAAATAGGGCGTCTCCAACAGTTTTGCACCTTCCACCAGTTACGCAATCACTCTTGTTAAATCACCCGCAAACCATGGTTCAGCCCCTCGCGCAAAATTCCAGTTTGCGAGCGCAAATTACTGCACGCAAAATTGGATCTTGATAAATCCGGCCCTATGTTGGATCTTATCATACTTGTGTAAATCTGTTTTAGTGGTTTCCTATCTGCTCCCCAGTCACTGCCAGCCAAACATCTCAAAATATTCAAGATTTTCTTACATTTATCAACAACTTTTTGTATATGTATATGCCATTTAAATTTTTCATCAAACCATAATCCAAAAAATTTTATACACTTTACCTGCACTAACTCTTGTTTATATAATTTTAATTTTATTTCCTTGTTTATTTTTTTCTGAGCAAATAACATTACTTTCGTTTATCAACTGAGAACTTAAATCCCCATTGCAACGCCCATTTCTCTATTTCAATAATAACCTTTTGTAATTTTTTAACAATAAAATCAACATTTTTCCCTCGTTTCCAAACAGCTCCATCATCTGCAAATAGTGAACACCCCATGTCTTTTTCAATATCTTTAAATACATCATTTATCATAATTGAGAACAATAGTGGACTTACTCCCCTGTGGAGTTCCATTTTCTACTATATATTTTCCTGAGGTAGTTTCTCCTATTCTAACTTGTATTTTCCTACCTGTTAAAAAGTCTTTAATCCATTTAAATATTCTCCCTTTAATACCAAACTTGTATAATTTAATTAATAATCCATCCACCCACATCATGTCATATGCCTTTTCTATATCAAAGAATACAGCCACTACACTTTCTTTATTTACTTGTGCTCTTCTAATTTCGTGCTCTAAACAGAGCGTTGGATCGTTAGTGCTCCTCCCTTTTCGAAAACCACTTTGATATTTTGATATATATCCTTTACTATTTAGATAATATACTAGTCTATTATTAATCATTTTTTTCATTATTTTACATAAATTAGATGATAAGGCTATTGGTCTGTAGTTTTCTGGGTTTGAATGATCTTTTCCTGGTTTGGCTATTGGTATTATAATTGATTCCTTCCAGTTCAACGGTAATTTTCCCTCCTCCCAAATTTTATTATATAGTTGTAATATTATATCTTTAGATTTTTCACTAAGTTGCCCTATCATTCTATACCAGATTTGGTCTTTACCTGGTGCTGTGTTTTTTGTCTTTTTAAGTGCATTGTTCAATTCCGTTTTTGTAAACTCAACATTTAACAAATTATTTGTTTCTTCAACGCTCTGTATAAAATCTTTATATTTAATTTTTGTATTTTCTCTACCTTTTCTTCCATTTTCACTAATATTATTTGAACTATGAATTTTACTAAACGTTCTTGCCAATATTTCAACTTTATCTTTATCTCTTATTAGGTTTGTATCATCTATTTTTAGTACAGGAGAGTCAAACTCTCTTTTTATACCATTCATTATTTTGATTACCTTCCAAATTTTCTCTAGTTTTGTTTCTGTCCTTGATGTGGGCGGGGCAGGCTGCAGCTGGATGTACTTAAATGGATTCGATCTGCCTAAAGAAGAAGAAGCGTCTTTGTGCCACTAATTCAGATTGGGTGCAGCGTTAGCTCAAATTTGTTCTCGTTCTGGTTTTTCATCAAGATATTCAAAACGGCGTACGCAATGAGGTAATTGTGACCATTTTCTGATTAGTATAGTTATTTGTCTGATCTTGGTGTCTGTGAGTTAATACCCTGGGTAGCCGGTTTGATGCTTCCTCATTTGTGATTAGCGCGTGAGCTACGGAAAGCTAAAAATGCTCCCGAAAATGTTTTTAAATGTTTCAGCCGCTCAATCAGTCTCCGCCAGTCACGTGACTTTTGTTGCTAAGACGCCATTTTAGGTGGAAAAGGCGAAGTGTAAACAACCGCAGCATAGCTAAACGAAGGACTAAAGGCCCGTTTACATAGCAGCCTGTCCAAGATAAGTCATTACAATTAACATAAGCCTGAAAACAGGGGCGGATTTAGGAAAATCGGTCTCCGCCAGTCACGTGACATTTGTTGCTAAGACGCCATTTTAGGTCACTTGGCGGAGATGGGCTACGTGATCTTTGGGAACATTTGCCGTTTACATCCCACTGAATGTGTGTCATGTTGTGTTCAGAAATAGGTCTTCTCAGATCAGTAGTAGTTCTGCATTATATTAAGCTCTATAGTAAACGTTATTGAAAAGGTGCAATGCTGTCTTACAAGGTTTGTTACCATGTTTATTTTGTTTTACTACCCAGAGGAGACCGCGGCAGAGGCCGGGGGCGGGGCTTTGGTGGCCGCGGAGGACTGATCCAGGGGTGAGTCTGATTGTCAAAGAAACAGTCGCTTCTACACTTTACACACACACATTTATGTTTTATCTACATTTATTTTTGCTAAACCTTAACTGCACTGTTGCAGTCATTTCTTTGCATTTCATCCAGCTTAAAAAGCATAATGATGTAAGCACTTTGCGTCGCCGCCATCTTGACGGCCTCTTTTACCGCGGCTCAGACTACTGCCTATGAGTACCACATACTGTACTCCCTCTCAGCCCTGTTTTAATTTGATTAATATCACCTTAACTTGATTTCAACCATGGTAAACCGTTGCTGTATTGTGGGCTGTAACAGCTCAACACATGATCGCCATGGGAACAACATAGAATATGGGTTAACTTTCCACCGCTTTCCTGCCTGGAGGCGTAACCATGAGACCAAGCGTCAGAGATAAAGAGTCGTCGGCTAGCTTGGATCGCGGCTGTAAGATGACCGAACATAACTTTCCACAGTATCCCAATGTCATTGATAGTGTGTTCCCTGCATTTTCATTCTGGTAAGTTAAAGATGCACGGTTTTATTTTATAGCCTACTTTGTTTCTTTCCTTCAAAGTTGGGATCTTTTACAGGAAAATAATAAAAACGGCAGCGGGAAAAGGCTCAAATACGTGAGAAACCCGGAGGGTTGTGTTAAAGAAAAATGATTATTTTTTAGACTTTAATACAGTTAATCTTATGGCATGTGTAAACACTCTCACTTGAACATATTTCTTAATTTTGAACAAGGCTGTGTTAATGATTTAAAACTACTAATGGATAAGTATTTAGACCACCAGCCCATAGAATGAGTATCTCCTGGGGGGTGAATAACAGTTAAGCCTGCAGGAGAGATTTCTGCTTGGTTTACAGAAGGTCAAAAGTGAGGCCCCCCCCCGCATTCCACAAGCTGTCTGTGAGAGCTTATCTTGTGTTTTATGACTTTAGGAATGCTAGATGCCAGGACAAGCTTTCCGCCTTTTCTTGTTAAAACAAAGAAGCAAATGACCCCAGATGTTTGCAGTAAATTAGGTGAAGCTCAGTGTCAGAGATGGCTCTGGTTGGAGGACCGAGGGCCAGCCCTTTTTGAATGGATTAGATACAAGAGGATAAAGCTTTCTAAATAGAAGTTACAGATCAGATTTTGCTCTTGCAAACTCTCCAAAGATGTCTTGTACGTCTTTGCTTTATTTCCTTCTCTCCATTCATGTCAGGTAATGGAATGTATGTCTCTGTTGTTCTGCAGTTTCTGGTGTAGGCTTGTGCATTGTCTTATTTCTAAGTTTATGCATTGTCTTATATTGGATTAAACTCTGTAATTCTGTGATGTCAACACGCAATGTTGGTTTTATTACCAAACGCAGCTCGCCGAGTGGACCTGGGGAAGGGAAGAATCAGAAGCCAACCTTTTTCCAAAGTTAACTATGTTAGAATATTTTCTTCCTTTACAGTTGGCAGTTAACGTTAATCAAGAATCCACCTTTCGTATTCCATTTTCAGAGTTTTTTAAAGTGTTTAACAGAGACGTTAGCACCTCGACGTCGGAGTACACAGAGTGAAGCGAAAAGACTACAACTGTGTAAACAGGCCCCATTTCCGTTTCCGGTGGCAGGGGAATATTGACTATTCCAACAGAACTCAATGGGATTTACAAAATGCTAAATAAAACACTACAGGAACGTTTTTTCTTCACGAAACTTTTTTTGGAACGTCATTGAACAGCGCTGACGACCCGGTGAGTAGCATATTTTAAAAAAAGAACGTTTAAGGTTGTTTTAAGGACATTATCGGACATGCTCTATGGAAGCCATTCTGAAGCAGCCAGAGGTGGATTCTAAATGAGCCAAAAAGCAGAGACAGGACCAATTGTCAAAATTTTGGTGTCGATCATTCGATTTCATCCTGGACACTACAGAAAATGGGCTTAAAGTGTTAAAAAGTGCACTTCTCCTTTAATGCTGACTTGCTAACACTGTGTCCATTGGCTTGCTCAGATTTTGGTCATTACATTGTTTGTTCTCACCAAAATAGTTTTAAACAAATAGATTGGTTGGAAAAACAACCACAACCAATCTATTCAAACTCTATCATACTGACAGCAGCTCTCCTCCAAACTCCCACATCTTGACTGAATACTGAGGCTTTTTAGATGCCTGTCAAAATTCTTGCGCTTCCCGAAGTGGTCACGTGGTTTCACGGTAACAAGGCCTCGGACGTCATCAATTTTGGCCCCTCCTCCAAATGAATCACTCCTCGAAGCGCTTTGGGGAAACCCCCCCCCTCCATTACTCGACACGGCTCGAATCCTCGGCTCATTTCATAACATCACTACTTGAGACTGTTCTTTTAAACCTAGACAATTTTAATCTACACCATTTGTTAATTATCTTGTTGGTATTAAAAAATTATTCATTTTAATGAAATTCAGTTTTCACTTTTGTTTTGCATTAAAGGACGAGCCGGTTTCATAGAAAACCCCCATCATAATCCCAGGTTGCCTGTGGGAAACTACTGCATCAATCAATGTTTAAATAGGCAATTGTGGTAAAGAAAAGGCAAATGTACTTAAAATTCTTGTCTTTTAAACTTGTTTGTTTGTTGGAAAACAGTTTCAAATATGGGAGACTGCTATTAACAAATGGAATTTCAGATTAAAGGGAAAAACTGTTTTTTTTTTTTTTTTTTTTTTTTTTTTTTTTTTTCATTGGGTCCTTGATTTTACGTTATTCCATCATGTTCTACTCTCCCATATGAGTTTTGTGTCATTTGGAGCCATTCTGAAGATATTCCGTTAGGTTATATCCAAGTAACGTCTTCCTATGGGCACCGACTTGAAGGCACAAACTAAACTGTTCATAATTTATTCTTTATGGTACGCCAGCATTCAGAACATGTAGGCCAATCACTGTCCCCCGACATCCGCGGTTAGATTTTTTATTTTTTAAAACAAAGCGGAGTGTGTATGACGATATATACGTAAAATCAAGGGCCCAATGTGATAAAAGCGAAATTCTCTTTTAACGGCTTTTAAAGCAAGACATTCATGTGAAATTAGAGAAGCTCTTTAATGGTAAGAAGCATCTTATACAATATAATGCAACCACAACCATTAACGAAATGTTCAAAGATGGGATACAATTGAAAAGAGAATGCATAGTGAGTGACTGGAATGTGTTGAAGATAAATTAAATCCTAAAAGTAAAAGCATGGGCTTCCCTAATGGTGCACACAAGGAACCTGTTATGTGCGTCAAAGCATCTGATGCATTGGAAGGTCAGAGTTTGATACTGGAGTTCAGAAATTTGAACCTTGGCCCCTGAATGCCGGAGCGTCCACCATTCAGGGGTTTAATTTGCAAACTGCAGCCAAACTCTTTTGCCTAATTGAAACAGCTGGGTTAATGGTATACATTGATGCTGCAACATTTGATGAGTGTTCTTTTCATGTACTTCAAATGAATAGCTACTCATTTCTTTTTCTCTCTACTTTTTAGATACCGCCCGTTTGTACCGCCACACATTCCATTTGATTTTTATGTGGTAAGTGATTATTATGCCAAAGCTGTTGCAATCAAAAATGACGTGTTTGAATATATGCCTGGACAATCATTTTCAACCAATATTGCAAATTTTTTTTGGACGATAATCCTATACACCAAGAACAACCATGTCTGTTTTACACCAGGGTTTCAGTTTTCCCAGTCCTTAAAAGCCTGCTTGTCCAGTTTTGCAGGACTTTACTGTTAAACCTGCACAAACACGTTCTTTCTTCTACTATATTGCATTAATCTAGGTGTTAGCTGCACATCTGTCCTCCCTTCTGTGCAGTGCATGCCCACTTTAATCGTATTACTGCCACCTAAAGGGCTTGAAGGAGACATTCAGTGTTTTACTATTGTTAAATGTGTCTGCAACTGGTAATTGCATTTTTCTAAATTACAATTGTGTGGCAAATGCAATTAATTTCCCAGTCCTATTTGAATGTTAAAGTTGGAAGAGATACTAAAAGTGAATTTTGGTGAAACCAGAACTGTATAGTGAATGTCTCTCACATTCTACAAAGACCTGTAGACGGCCACATGCTGTTAGCGTTCCGCCCCACTCACGATCAATGAGATCTGTTCCAAACCCACCACAACTTTTCCGCCACACCAAAACCGCTTACATACGTCCATCACAATACGGAGCCGAGCCATTTTTTGCTCCGGTCTGGCCAGGTCAAGATCCATGATTGCAATCGCACCAAACAGTGAAATGAACGGTGAGACGATCCAGTTCATCAACTCAAAATATAATAATGTTAGATCGCTAACTACAAATTAGAGCATAATCCTTATATATTCCCAAAAATGAAGACCGTTTGATTAAATGATTGGATGCAAACTATTCGTACTTCAACATACCAGGAAGCAGATTTCTCATCTCAATCAAAAATATTTCTCTTATAAGGCTTAAAAGGCTAATAAAATCCTGTCACAACAACTTCCAAGAGAGCATCTCACTACTTCAAAAGAATCTCATGGATATCATCCTGCATCTTAAATTTGACATAAGCATTCATATAGACTTAATTTCTGTTTAAAGTTAATATAATCCACTGGTGAATACCGTAAATCCTCTAATATTGGCCTGTATTCCATTAGCAGCCGGGTCTCTAATAATGGCCTGTCTGGCTGTCGGAGGAGGTAAATACTGGCCGGACTCTTATACAGGCCGGGGCTATAATTAGAACCAACAATGTTCCTGGGCAGTCCTCAACAACTTGTCATAGTAACATACAAGTACTACAGGGGGGACATATTTGCTAACGAATCCAAGCCATTAGCATGGGAAGTCCCATCCTTAGCAAAGACAGTGCCGCAGACAGGAGGTCGGCTTGTTTTGTTTTTATGACCGAAATCGAGGTAAACTACACGTGAAGTTTCACCAGCTACAAGAGCGAGGTGCGCGAGAATGCTGGGACCCTTTTTCACCTGTATCTCTGCTCTTTTTCACCGTCATGTCCCTCTGTTGGCGGACTACTCGCCCCCACTTCCTAATATTTTTGCATGGGAAATCCGATCCTTAGCGCAGACAGTGCTGCAGACAGGAGGTCGGCTTGTTTTGTTTTTATGACCGAAATTGCGGAAAACAACACGTTAAGTTTCACCAGCTACAATAGCGAGGTGCGCGAGAACGCTGGGACCCTTTTTCCACCTGTATCTCTGCTCTTTTTCACCGTCATGTCCCTCCGTTGTCGGACTACTCGCCGCCACTTCCTCACCGCCTTGGCCGTATCTAGACCCACAGTCTATTATAGCGCGGACCACGCTTCAATATTAAGCATTAATAAAAAAAATTCTGTGTCAAGCTCATTGTGACACACTGCTGCAGGAGTATAACCAGTCACACAATCATTCTGATCTGAAAGACACATGTGATTACCAGCAGGTCTGGTGGTAACCAGGCAGCGTTAAAATTACAGAATTTCGTGGCCTTCGTTGTTCTGAATTTCTCTTGAAATATATGATACCGGTAGCCTACTTCCACTTAGCCTGCCTCAAATAAAATTTCGCTGTGAATGCAGAACAGTTTGCTTTTTTTTTTTTTTTTTTTTACTTTTTTTCGCAAGTCAGTTTGGCCAACATTCCATTCTGTGTCTTCTTTTTTTTTTTTTTTTTTATTGCCGTGCAGAAAAATTGCAGCTGCTGGAAGATGTCTGAATAATGTTCTGTATACCGTTATGTTAACTGTACTTTTTCAATAAATGAACCTAATATTTTATAGGTTCAAAGAGACACAAAATCTCCTTTTTTTTCATTCCCCTGGTAGTCTGTTTTGATCAAATAGAAATAGAGGCCTGCCTCTAATTCTGGCCTCCTTCTAATAATGGCCTGGACCAAGATGTACCTGGGTGAAATAAAGGCCCCGGCCTATATTAGAGGATTTACGGTAATACATATTACAGGGGTTGACGTTAAGGATTTTACCACTTGCCCGACTTTCACATTTCATTTGCCCAGAAACAATTTTTACTTGCCCAGTATAATGTTTGATAAATATAGTTCCTAATATCTATTTTTTTTTATATATATCAATGAAACATGTTTGTTTTTAAAATGTTTTTTGTAATTCAGCATTTTTTAAGTTTCCAGGTTCCTGGTGTGTATCTGCATGCGTTAGATAATGAACTCAAGCCTACATTACTTTGTTAACATGCTTTTCAATCCTTCCTGCACATCTTTTCAAACTAAACTTTGTTTTAAACTGTTGTGTGCTTAGAAAAATATAAATTGTAATGTTAAAAATCTAAAAAAAACTTGACAGGTTAAAAACTTATGATAAATCACAAGACAGAAGTCAATGTCACAAATGAATAACTTTTATTTTAGAGTCACGGTATGTTTATACAAGATAATACTATTAATATAATGTGAATTTTCTAGAGAATCATTATACATAGTTATTTTATTCAGGGTTTCCACAGTCTGACATTTCAGAATTCCCTGACTTTTAACTGACTCAGGAGTTTTCTCTTAGTTTTCCCTGACAAAATAAATGCAGCAACAAGACAATAATAATAACAAAACAGTTCACCAATCTAACATGTTTAGCTCTATAACATTTAATGCACCTCTGCAATGTCTGAGAGAAAAAAATATAATGGACATTTTTTAATGTATGACCTGAATCACTGTACAGAAGACTGCCATATAATAGCCATATTTACACTGTGCGCATGGTGTACAATTATGCCAATTTTCCTAATCCCTGACTGATAATTTTTAATCTTGGGTCATCTGGGTGGTGGGTGTGTTACTGTACTTACATTTTATTGCCTTGTTGTTTTTAGCCTGCCAAGTCAAAATAAATGTGTCTAATTCACGCAAATTCCTGGGAAAAAAATCACGGCATCTGGTGGAAAATCAAGCGGATTTTTCAAATCACGCAAGAATTTGTACAAAACAACAAAAATGGCGCCGGAAACGCTTCTGGGTCGTTTTCATCGAATGTCGGTGATTTTAAAGTAATTTTGAGTGATAATTTTTTTTTTTGCCATTTCATTGCACTTGCCCGGCGGGCAAATGCAATGAAAATTGTACTCTCCCAACGGGAGATCGGGCGATAGTTAACATCCAGCCCTGATATTGTTCTCTGTTTGAGTAATGTCTATTAATCAAGTCTTTGAGACTAGAAAAGGAATAATATAAGTATTATTCAGGCCAATATTGTATTGGGTGAATATTGTCATCTGTCAATATACTCAGGATTTTCCTGAAGCCTACTGCAGCCTGGATGCATTTTTTCCGAAGGCTGTCAGAATTTGTAATCTTTATGGCGCCTCCAGAGCTGTGTGGCATGTGTAAATACAGTTTTAATTTTTTTACGTTTAAGATTTTTAGATTGTGTTGTTTTTTTTGTTTATTTAACTGATTGCTTTGCGTCTTAATGGGACACATTATTTGGTTGTTTCTAGATAACCATATTGTGTAGTAGGGCTAGGCTATTAATTGCATTAGCAATATAACCACAAATTAGAAAAGTACTACTTTCAAACCACAGGTGCTCAATTTTTAATAACATTGTGTTTAAAAAGAGTAAGACGCTAAGGCCCCGTCCACACGAAGTCAAACCCTGGCCTAAACGCACAAATTTTTCACCAAACCAGCCTCTCATCCACACGAAGCCGGCGTTTCGGGGGTCTGTAAACGATCTTTTTTTTATTAAGCCTTCAGAGTGGGAAGATTTTGAAACGCCGTTTTCGCGTTTCCATCTTTAAGCTCTAACCGCATTTTTTTTCTTACACGCATGCGTCATAGTGTCGCCTCTAAACATGCATGCGCGACACAGTATCACAACAACAATGGCGCTGTACTGTGTTGAATGGTTGCTGCTCATGCTACTCACCCTGCTGTCGGGCTTACAACAGAATCTTCTTCTTCTGGAATATCTCCAGGAAGAACGGAGCAATATAGACGACATAGTTCAGCACCTCAATTTGACTAAACCACGAAAATGGACCCGCAGGGCCATTTTCCGGTTTTCTGGTTTGGTTGTTGTATAAATATTACTGCGCATGCCCAACATTTCGTTGCCTGTTTTCGCCTATTTTTGCTTTGGCACCACAGCGCCACTTACAGGCCTGGCATACATTTTGCAGCGTTTTCATGCATTCGTGTGGTCGATCACATTTATTTTACGTCTCCGTCTTTACGACAAACGTTCTGGAAAATATTAGCGTTTCGTGTTCGTTTTGACTTCGTGTGGACGGGGCCTAAATTTCTCGCTGCAGCTCTTTAGGTGGCAGTAATAGATTTAAAGTTGGTATGCACCACACAGATGGGAAGACAGAGTTGCAGCTAGAACCAGGATTATAGGATTCTAGTAGAAGTAAGAACTTGTTTGTTCTAGTTGGACTCTAGACAAGCAGGCTTTCAAGGACATGAAAAGGTGAAATTATGGAATAAAACATAAACATTGTTGTATTTAGTCAAAAGGATTATAGCATTGAATTTGCAATATCGGTAGAAAAATAATTACAATTTATATCTTGGGTAAAATTCTTCAGCCCTATCATATGTAGTGTAAGATGATCACACTTGTTTCCCCTAAAATAACACTAAGCTTTTAGTAAAGTAGAAGCAGTGATGAAAAGTACTTACTGAAATGTGTTTTTACCAGTGTGAGAAGGCATTCCCCAGAGTAAAGCCGATGCCTGATGAGACGGCTTTCACTGAATGTCTGCTGAAGAGAAACCAGGACCTCAGCCCCACACCAGCAGAGCAGGTCTGTCCTGTCACTCTACCATTGTTTGTTCCAATCAAATATCCCACCGTCTTTTAAGCAGTTTGGACTCCCTCTCTCTGTCCACCTTAGTCCTCCATCTTGTCTTTAGTCACAAAGATTAATAACATCATTGACAACCTGATTGTTGCTCCTGGGAACTTTGAAGTGGTAAGTCACAGGTCTACTAATTAAGCAAGTTTAAAAAATAAAAAAAATTTCTGAAACCCTAATCTTATGACGTTAATCTCTCTGCATCACCTAACAGCAAATTGAAGAGGTCCGTCAGGTCGGTTCATACAAGAAGGGCACCATGACAACAGGACATAATGTCGCAGACCTAGTTGTCATCCTGAACATCCTTCCCACATGTGCGTAAAGGTTACAGTAAATGAAAAATAATCATCACTGCTGGTCCTCTTCAGTAAATTTTTTCTTTTCTTACCTAGTCTTAAAGTTTATTCCTTTTTTTTCAAGGTTGGTGTACATATGGTAACATTTGTCTTTCCAGACCTTTTTTATTGTTGCTGATTTTGAAAAAGTATGAAATTTTGAAAAGTGATATGTGGAGCCTTAAAACTTCGATATCATGACTTAAAGCTAATTAATAATTGAACATTCTGGGTTCAGTCGCTGGGGTGTACAGAGAAATGACAGTGATGTGTTAGATCAGTATGTTTAAAGTTGACAATATTTTAGTAATTCATATATCTTAAAATAATGAGTCAGTAAACTTATCATTAAAAAAGTTGACAAAATGTGCATATATTTATTGCACCTTTTAGTACCACCGGTTTTGACTGTCATTTAGGCCCAGTTGGAGTCAGTGGTGGTACCGTCCAAACTGGTCCGTCTCTGTAAAATCAGTATGGAGTTAAATTGGAATTTAAAGCTCCTCCTATTTGATGACTCTGTCCAAAGTGAGGGTTGTGAAACCTCTGTGGTGATCTCCCTCTGCTTTCTGCAGAAAAAACTGCAGACACCACTAGGGGTCACATCCATCATGGCGATTCGATTCAGTATCGATTTCCTGACCGAACGATTCGATTATTTTCGATACTCAAGAATACACCACGATTCGATTAGATTAATCGGTAAATTTTTTTTTTTTTTTACACCTTACAGGCTAAACAAAGTTTAAAGTTTGAAATAAATCAATGAAAGCTGTAATATCGTTATGCATTTTTTTTTTAGAAACAACAGCAAATAACAAAAGTAGAAAAGTTGCATCAAAAAATACTGCAAAAATCAATGCAATGAGTGCAATGCAATACCTCGGCTCCAGACGTCCCCGCCCCCTCCACAGACGCTCCGCTGCTCCTCTCCCAAATTGTAGCTGACCGCAGACAGTGCCGCAGACAGGAGGCCGGCTTGTTTTGTTTTTATGACCGAAATTGCAGAAAACAACTCGGGAAGTTTAACCGCTAGAAGAGTGAGGTGCACGAGAACGCCGGGACCCTTTTTCCACCTGGATCTCCGCTCTTTTTGGCCCTCATGTCCCTCTGTCGTTGGACTAAACTCGCCCCCACTTCCTCGCCGCCTCGGCCGTATCTAGACCCACAGTGTGTACTCAGACCATGCTTCAATATTGAGCATAAATCAAAAATGTCTGCATCAAGCTCACTGCAACACTCTGCTGTAAGAGTAAAACCAGGAAGTGAGGTAGGAGGGCAAAATAGGTTTAGCGCCACCGCAGCACGGGAGGGAGAATTACGCCCAGGAGCAAATGGATAAAAATATACTGGAGGAAACAAAAAAACATGAATCGATTCTTCTGCGGACGTATTGATGCATCGGATCGTCGGCTGTTGGATCGATGCATCGATGCAAAATGAGTATTATTTACACCCCTAGACACCATGTTTGGTCTGAGCTCGCACAAGACAGATGCCCATAAAGGGACAAATGTCTTCCTGTTAGAGATTTTTAAGCCGACCAAATTTTTTGATAGACAGGCTGTTTCTCAATTCACAAGAATGCCAGTATGGACTCGTTTTTTTTCTTCTAATATATGGGCTATATAGTCAAATTTAAAAGTATAATATTCACTTCTCAAATTATCTTAAAACCAACTTTTGTAGAACAATGGCTACAGAAAAGTGAAATTTTAACTGGCGCTCCACTTTAAGCTGCTGTTTCCGCGGTGCATGTTGGGACAGCTGGATAAAGCACAGGTCAGCACTGATGCATGCTGAGTAGAGGGAGGGGCGAAGAAATGCATCTGGAGACTTTTTCTGTTCTCGGTCTTGTGAATTGGATCAACGCTGGTGCAAATGACGTTTCACGAGCGCGTGAGAACACACAAGTACACATATTGAGAAATGCCTTAGATTAAAGCATCAGCCTAATTTCTTCAGTGTCTGGGCTTGTAGAAATTTAACAAAGTTATCAAGTAACAGTTTAATCGGGGAAAATGTGCTTAGTATGAGGTTTTTGGGGGTTTTAAATAGTATTTCAGCTTGGTGAAGCCCAAATTGCCCCTCTCTGGATAGAACAGATTTACAGAGTACGAACATTTTTAATTTAAATCGAAAATGTTTATAATTTCTGTACAGTTTAGGCTCATTCACAAGGGTTTATTCTTTCAGCAAGTTTACTATTTTAGAATCACTATACTAGAGTTAAAGATCTGATTATCTTGGTTGGGGATTATTTCAGTTAGCATCCATGCTTAATGTAATCCTTAATCAGAATTAAACGACCATGTAAAAAAAGAAAAAGAAAACAATTGTGCATTTTAAAATATGTCTTTTAATCTTTCACAGTGGAGGCAGTAGCTGCTCTTGGGAACAAAGTTGTTGAGACCCTTCGCACTCAGTACCCCACAGAAGGTAATATTGAGAGAAGGTTTCTTTCACTCACTGATGTTGTCTGCGCTCCTTTTCCAGGTTTTTTTTATGACTTATAAACAAAATGAGCTCCAAGTTGAGGTCAAAATCTACTGGTCTGAGGGCTATGAAACTTTATGCTTGAGCAATATGTTTTTACAGAATTGTTAATAAATATAAATGCTTCATATTGTGACTACTAAATGAAATGCTATTAAAGCAAATTATTTTAACACATTAATTCCCAGCCTTCCTTCTTCTCTACTTAAAATAAAATGCAATGTAATCTCCTCTCCTTAAAATAACAGCACTGCAATACTTAAGTGCACCCCCCGTCTGGCCAGCATGGGGTTAGACCCTCACCTCCACCTTCTTTTGCCAGTGGGAAGGGATCCCAATGCTGAAATTATTAGGGGGTCGACCCATGTTTAAAAATAGTGGGTCTATGCGTGTTTTTCAGTGGAAAAAGAGTCGTTTGAAAAATATTTAAAGATGTATAAATCTCCCTCATCCCACAGCCATTGACTTTGACCACAGCGTAACATTCACTAGTGATATCACTACAGCTTAATTATGAATGATTGTGACTTAGTAATCTTTAGTAATTTGCCTTTCAAATGTACCAGTTTAGCCAAGTGACTTTTTTAAACATGATCACTGTTGGCATTTAAGTAGCTAAAGACAGAATATTTCAGAGCTACTGGTAAATGTTGTTATATTAGCATTTGCAGCTTCGGTTCAGTTCCAGTTATCGTAGTGGGAATGGTCCGTATGTAGTCCATGGCCTTCATGGGTTCTCCAAACTCCTTAATGTTCTCTTACTATGTGATTTAGAGACATGCTGTCTAAAGTAATCCAAAGCAGACACCTCTGCATCATTACCAGCTATTTCGGCCCTCACTGCGTTGATGTCAGCTCTGAGAGTGGTGAACTCTTCAGACAGTGCACTTCTCATTCCCTCCCTTAGAACTGTAGAGATTTCCCCTTATATAGAGGTTAGGATGTCGGCTCATTCATACCAGGGCTCTCGGGTTGTGGGTCTTGGTCTTCTGAAATACGCCGCCTCGTGGCTCTGGTTTTAGCCGTTAGTTTAGCTGCGTTACCGTAGTACTTGAATTTGCAAAGTTTATCCACCATTTATGAAGTAACGTCTGCTGGAACGGAATTCTTCATAGTCCAAAACCTTTAATAATCTGATTTTGCTCAACATTAGTAGCAGATGTGGTTTTTAAAGCAACAATGTTAAGCCTGCAGGAGCTCTGAAATATCCATCTGTACTCAATCTTGGCTCACCAGCTCTTTTTTTTTTTTTTTTTTTCCAATTTAAGGACTCCTATTTTATTTTATTTTTTTAAGTTGATTATAGTGATTTAGGTCATTAGACTGACGGACACAAAGCTTTTGTCAAATCATTATATTAGATCGTCCCTCTAACCTTGAGGTGGGGCTTAATAAACTAGAAATTAAAGAAAATAAAGCCAGCTGGTGGAATCTGAGTATCAAAGAAAGCGTTTTCCTACCATCTAAGGCTAGAATATGATCACTTCCCTATTAAATGTGATTCCCTGATGTTTTTTTACTCATGGGCTTTTCCCCGAGGGTGTTTCCTTGGTGGGTTGGTGGTTTTTCAACTATCCCAATTCTAAAAGCTGTGATCTATTACCAGGATTTTTACCCAGTTTCTTCCACCTGTCCGGAAGAACCTCAACCTCGATTTCATGTCGCACATGGCATACATGTCAAGTTTTTTCTTGAGTTTTACCGAAAATATATATTTCGAAATAGTTGAGATGAATGCAACCTACCGTATACAGATTTTATCTGTGGAAAATATTTTAAATTGAATCCATATGCTTTTAATGTGAGCAATAGTGTGAAGATCATGGTAAATATTTCAAATTTTATGTCTAAGATTTATTTCCTGTACATTAAAGCATCATTTTTGATTAATTCCTTTGCTAAAGCTTTAGGATTAAAAGTTGCTCAATATAATTTTAAAGCCAAGTTGAATATGGAAAAAAAAACAGTCTCATTACAATGTGCCTTTTTTTTAACACCGAATTTTAAACGCTGAATTTTTTTAGACATTGAATTCCTTACACTCAATTTTTATCTGGTAGAAATTCACCAGAAAAAAATTCTGCCTCAAAAGTGGTGACCTTTTGGTGATCTCAAGCCAAAGCGTTCTACACTCGATGGAGTCCAGCAGCTTCTAGCCAATGAAATCAGCTCATTTGGTCACGTGACACAACAGCTGTGCTCAGCGCTGTTCCCGGCTGAATGAGGAATTTTTTTTGTTAAACAGATAAAATTACAAAACGCAAGACAGCTATTAGAGTTTATCCTCTTATCAGACTGGGTGAAACAACTGAGCCGATCACAGCTTTGTCACGTGACGAAATGAGCTGATTTCATTGGCTAAATTTTTATAGTGTAAGGAATTCAATGTCTAAAAAAAATTCAGTGTTTAAAATTTGGTGTTAAAAAAAAAAGGCAGATTCCAATGAAACTGTTTTTCTTCCATAGTTGAAGACCATTAATGTCCTGACTGTATATGTCTTATTTTCAGTGCTTTCCATGCTGACCAATGAGACTGGTTTTGAGATAAGTTCTGCTGATGCTACTGTTAAGATTCTCATCACCACCATCCTGCCCAATCTGCACAAGCTGGAACCAAAACTGCACCGTATGACCATCTACACAACGCACCACAACCACACAAATTATAAAACTTCCCTTAAACTGCAGCATCAGACTTAGATTTAGGCAGATTTTATTTTGTTGTGTTGAACACACAAGTGTAAACCAAAAAATTAAATAGTCTAGAGAGCTGAACTTAACAAAAATTCTTTTTAAGTGCAGTTAAGCAGCAGTGATAAAAACATTGTGATGTAAGGGCTAAAGTTGCTACCTTGCCACCTGAAATCCAGGGAAAACTTAGAAAGTATGTGCAGTTTGTTATTTGGGTGAAGTATTTGAAGCAATGAAATCTGTATTAGTTTATTTGGACTTGCAGAGTTCTGCATTTTTAATTTAGACAAAAATGCATTTTTACACAGTATACCTGGATATTAAATGATTTGTGAAGCCTAAGAATGTTAATTAAATATAAACTTATATACAGTTTTGTTAATGCACCCGAGATGAGCTTAAGACATTAGAATTTGTCATTTCAGTATTTTAATGGCTTGAATAAATATAATATGTTCTGTATTGTCTTTAGTGGACATCAAGGTGCTGCAGAGCGCCCTGGCTGCCATCCGCCACGCCCGCTGGTTTGAGGAGAATGCCTCTCAGTCAACGTGAGTATTTGAACTATTCTTTAGACACCAATTTGTGCTGCACGCTTTTCTGTTGCTACTTCACCCACCTGAACTTTCCTGTTTGCTTTCTAATCTTTAGAGTGAAAGTACTGATCCGTCTCCTGAAAGACCTTAGGGCACGTTTCCCTGGTTTTGAACCTCTAACCCCGTGGATCCTTGACCTGCTCGTAAGTTCTATTAACCCGATATTTCACAATAACGTTATCATTTATAACTAGGGGTGAATTATATATCAGCATTAACATCTCAGGGTTGGCCTGTTATAACATTGATATCGGTTTGGTAATTAAAACTGGGCTGACTTAAACAGCTAACATGTATTTGCATCTGGGTGACAGAAAAGAGGAGGGCCTTGGTCATGTGGTACAAACTGTGATGCAGCGGAGGATTATGGGTGTTTATCTGAAGCCTAATGCTACTTTCACCGTACACAATTTCAGCAGCAAAATGGCTCCTGCTGCTTCATTTTAGACGCTTCTCCATATTCATCAAAGATTATTTCTCTGTGGGAGCCGCTCAGACCCCCACATACCGGCGGTGCGCTGTCCCTGGGAATCCCCAGCAGCAGCTGCCTCAGGCCCGCTCGCCTCTTGGGGTTTATCCCCTACTATTGGTGGGAGCTGGAGATTTTTCAGGTCTGTGGTACAATCTGTAGGCACCAGAATAATAAAAGCGAATATATTCTGCTGGCAGGTTTCTACATTTGAAGTTAATTTATGCGTTAATAAACTGTTTCACAGGAGTGATCGTAGCACTCTGCATCAGCAGTGCTGTGTCTGACTCCCTGCCAGCTCCCAGATCAGCTTCTCTGATTGGTTGATGTGGCGTGAGCAGCAAAAGTTCAATGTATTCCTTCTCCAGCATAACGGAGGCCAGCTGAGCTTGGCTATTTTCCAGCGACTCTCTAAGAGCTTGAAAATCCTTATGCAGAACTTCTACCAGGGCGAGGCGGGCGTCCAGGCTGGTTAGCTTTCTGTCGATGGATTGCAGGACGCCGCTGTAGCTCCTGTCTGGAGACAAAGTAGAGGTAGAAGCATTACGATGTTGTCAAAACACTCATCCAGGTAGCTCTCCAGGCTCGTCTTTCAGTTTGTTCCCTCGGAAATATGGGACAATTGTTAAAGTTTAAACCTACTTTGTTTAAATTACAATTATTGGCTTACTTACCTGAGTGGATTTGTTTTTGAATTACCTGCATGTCGCCGTTTTACTTACGCACACAGCTCCCGTGAGATCTCAGCTGCTCATTCCCTCCTCCGCTCAACAAACACTTTGCAAGAGTTTTTTTCCATCCTTCAAAGCAGCTCAGGGAGATAGGATAGCAGAGAGAAAGAAACATAGAGATTTGAAGAGTTGTTGAGACATTTACAACTGCATCTCCCACTGCGATAGTTTGTGGTGTTGATTTGTTAAAACGTTTCTGATCAGTTTACTGTGGTAAATGTGTGTCCTTTGTGTGCAGGGCCATTCTGCTGTGATGAACAACCCTTCCAGGCAGCCCCTGTCCCTGAATGTGGCCTACAGGTCTGTTCCTGCTCACCTTTATCAAAATAAAATTCAACTACTTTTTTATTCTCATATTCCATTTAGGGAGAAAAAGTCCAGCAACTAATGGCACCAAAGGGCTGACACAATTAATAATTTTAATCTCGTTTAATTGGCACCGATACCATTTTGAGAGCCAACAGTTTATTCAGCTATTGTCACCTATTTATGGTAGGCAATAAAAAGTTCTACTGGATTCACTTTTAGTCTTTTTCCCCTCTTTCATAAAGGTAGGCAGCAGCTTGACAGCCATGATGGTAATTATTTTACATCCAAGTAGCCTGCAGTTCTTCATATATAAACACACACACATCAATTTTAAACAGATGTTATCAGCTGATACTGTACAGCCAGGTCGGTATTGGGGCCAAAAAATGGCATCGACGCAACACTAGAAATAATTGCCAACTAATTTAGTAATTCATTAATCGTTAACTGAAATATAGAGACTCTAAAACATACCCTTAACTGACAGTGACCCACTTAAAGCAGTCACTATACTAGGGATGGAACGATTTATGAAAACCGTCCGAACCGTTCAGTTCGACTGTCTCGGTTCGGTTTGCGTGTGTTTCGTTCGGTTCATGCGCTGCTCCTTTTTTCTCATAGGAGAAACATGTACACTCCAGAGCAGAAGGTGGCGGTACTGCGACCAAAGCCAACCACCAGTAGTTAACAAGAAGAAGAAGAAGCGAAGCAGCTTAGCCAGGTGTAGCAGAAAAAAATCAGTTGTTGTGGAGAATTGTGTGGGTATGGCGAGTGGGAAAAAACAGGAGCTGGAAGACGCGCCAGCAGCACTTTATAGGTCTGCTGTATGGGACCGCTTTGCATTTAGAGTGACCTACGATGATGCCGGAAAGAAAGTTGTGGATAAAAGTGCGTTTTGTTTATGCAAACAGCAACATGACCAACATGTCAGGTTAACCCCGAAATCCCACATACTCCGTCAGCGCTCCGCCCCGCTGCGCTCCAGACCTCCTGCACAAAGCAAAGCCTACAGCCTCCGCTGTGGCTCCCGTCCGCTCCGCTCTGAGTTCCTTGGAGATCGTAGAGGGCATGCGCGAGATGATTAAATTCAAAGCAGCAAAACATACGAAAATGATCCAGGGTTTCCGCGGATCATTAAAAATAATTGCAATTCCTTACTTTTTTTGGATTTTTTCATTAATTTCATTTTAAAAAAATGAAGTTCATTAATTTTTATAATTTTTTTTATTTTTCGGTGTAACAAGAAACATACCGAACCAAAAAACCGTGAACCGAACCGTTCCACCCCTACACTATACCAAAATTGTTAAGAATAGAAATAATTGCATTTAGGATAGAAAAATCTTGTTGATCATCGATATGCTCTATCCAGAACTCCTGGAAAAGTTTTGCTGCACCAGGTCTGATTCTGGAAAAAAATCTTCCTGGAAAAAGGAATCTTCTATCTGATTTTTTTTCCCCAGTGTTTTATTGTCATTACACTGTCACAAGTTCAGAGCAACAAAATTCACTCCTTGCATTTAACTCATTCTCTTTGGGGAATGCACCCAGGGAGCAGAATGTGAGTTAGGGGTCTTGCTCAGGGACCCAAAGTGGCAGTCTGTGGGAGTGGAGCTGAACTCAGAACCTGAGGATGCTTCTCACCACTAGGCCACCACTCCGCAAAGCAGGCATTAGCGTGAAGGGTCTCGCATGTTTCTGAAATGGAGGTAATGTTGGCTCTAAATAGAAATGCAAAGCCACCTTAGTCTTAGTTTCAAGAACTGAATTAAAAAATTTAATATTTCTAATCTTAAAAAAAAAAGTCTAATTCAAGAATTTTTAATGTTTCAAACCTTAGCTTTTGTTTCTAATCCGATTGTAGAAAGTCTGACGCTTCCTGTACATCATGTCTAGTTATTTGTATTTATTTATTTAGGCGTTGCCTTAAGATGCTAGCTGCCGGTCTCTTCCTTCCTGGCTCTGTGGGAATTACTGACCCCTGTGAAAGTGAAAACGTCAGGGTACACACAGTCATGACTTCAAAACAACAGGTATGTGATTGATCCTTCCAATCATTGCAGGTCATACAAGGTTTAGGATCATGCTGTTTAACTTCTTCCTCATGTGAGGTTAAAAAATGCTGATTGGTGCAAAGTTTTATTCTGTTTTGATTTTCAAAGTAGAGAGGGTGACCGGACGTCCTGATTTGTGCAGGACACAGTTTTCTCATTCCCACCAAGTGAAGTGAAGTGATTGATAAGTTGTAATTTTATAAGAATTATATCGTAAATTTACAAGAATTGTCCTGCAGTATTAACCATTCAAAATGTCCCCACTTTCCTTGATGGGTCCTTGGCTGGTCGCCTACAATTCCTTTTTAAACATCAATATTTGTACTAAAATATTCTTTCTGTCATGATTTGTGGACATAAAGAACTAAATAAAAGTATCATCTCCTGGTAAGACCCTGTAATTCAGTCAAAGGGTGGAGTCAGAATAAAATATGCAAGGGGGGGGTGTCACTCCAGTGACTGGAAGTTGGAGGGGATTTCGCTGGAATTGGAGGGAAGTGGGCTGCCATCTCGCTGGCGTTTGACTGGGAAGGGCCTTTTTGAACGGCTGCTGCTGTAATATCATGAGAATAAAGTTGTATTTTAAGACAACTCTTACAAGAAGCACTATCTTCCCTAAAATGAGGAATGTCTAGCATCTTGTGAAGCTACAGTAAACTTCAAAAATAAGTAGGGATGGGGATCGTTAATATTTATTGATATCGATACCTTTATCGATACTCCTTATCGATCCGAGTCTTTATCGATACCACTATCGATACTTTTCTGCTATTTGGTGGAAAGACGATGCGACAATATGTTTTAAACAGAACTGGTATTGCTTTTATTGCTTAACAAGTGAGCATAACAGCCTTCAATAAACATGGCTAATGTAATAGGCCACTTCGAAATGACATAAAAATAACTAGAATATCAGCAGCACCAAATGAAAAATAAAATGTCATAATGTATGTAAATTAAATAAATAATATGCTGTGTCACACAAAGGGAAATAAAATATCAGCTCATAAATTAACAGGTATTTTTTTTTGCAGAAAAATTATATTTTGAAGAAATGTCGTCTTTTGGTTTAAAAAAGTATATAAATTTTCACAATTGTTGGTTAATGTATTGTCTACTGTCACTTTTCATTATGTTTTTAGTGATTAGGAAAATATTTAGCAAATAAATAATTGTATTTTAAATTAAATGTAATTTTTAATATATGTTGGAATCAGTAGTTTAATTATATGTTCTAAAATAATTAGAGCAATATACTACTGTATTGCAATGTCCCTTTTCTTTACGTTACACTTGAATGCATCATGATAACCTAATTGTCGTTTTACTGAGCCAATCTGAACACATCATCACGCAGCACGTCTGAAACTTTATTTACTTTTCAAGCTAACTAGCTTGTATGTTGCCGATTACAACACGGATTTCACAATTACTATTTTTAACTGACCGGACAAGCTACAAAGTCTGTGTGCGCTTACTCTGAGTGGATGATGAAGATGGGCCCGACTGTGTGCGGTGGCAGCAGCAGGAGGAGGAGGAGTCTTTTCAACCGGGAGACAGTCGAAGGTACTGCATTTGGCCTTTATTTGATGCACAATACTAATGTGCTTGGCCATTGAGGTTGTGTTCCCCCCTTTAAAAGAGATGATTTTGCAACATAAGTTGCATTTCGCTTCTTCTTTATCTTTGAGCTTGGTAAAATGAAGCCAAACTTTAAACCTTTTCGTCCGTTCAGCCATCCTCGAGTCGTGAACGAAGTTAACTGCCAGACTTCACTTGTTTTACTTTTAATATCTGTTTGCTTACAATTTCATTCCAAAACATTGGTGGACATGCTGCAGTAATTGGATTGATTAGAGTTAAATGCTGTGACGCGACTCGAGGGACACCCAATGTTACAGGACCTCGGGGGGAGAAAAAAAAAAAAACGACCAGACTCGATAGTGGTATCGATAAGCCCAAACGTTATTGATTTCCGGGTTTTGAAAAAAGTGGAACCGGGTCCTTGATGGAACCGGGTTTCGATCCCCATCCCTACAAATAAGTAAATATTAAGTCTTTAAGCACCAGCATATAATTCTCAGTATATGTCTAAGACAAAGTGGACTCAGGTTGGTGGAGCTGGTCGGTTGTGATATGCTGGTCGGAGCTCGAAGCTTTCTGTCTGAACCGGGGTGTGGTATGATGACTTAATTCTCGTAATGTTTCAACTTTATTCTAGTAATATTATCTTTATAATATATTACATAATGTTAAGATTTTATTCTCGTATTTGGAAAAATGATCTGAGGACATAAAGCAAAACGGAAAAGTGATTCACCAAAGAAATGCACGCTTGGAAAAGAAGCATTCACTCACATTGTCGCTCATAAGCATCCTAATTGTCCCACATTTGAATTTTTGATCCGCATGCTACTTGAACAGAAGTTGAAGCTGAAATGGTTTGTCTTGTTTTTTTCTCCTTTTTTCAGGACATGGTGTGTTCCACAGCACAGACATTAGTGAGGGTGCTTTCCCACGGAGGTTACAGAAAGATCCTTGGCCTGGAGGGAGATGCCAGCTGTAAGATAATACCTTTTTAACCGTCCCTGGGAAACTAGCTCCATTTCTAATTTTAAAATAGAACATTAAAATAGATGATTTAATGACTGCTGACTGGCTGGATTTGACTTTAGTATCAAATCCATGTTGACAACAACAATTCTAGGCAGAAAACTGATTTAATATAAACTTTGACTTTCCCAGACTTGGCTACAGAGATGTCTACATGGGACGGTGTGATTGTCACTCCATCAGAGAAGGCGTACAGGGAACCCCCAGAAAGAAAAGAGGAGGAAGACGAAGGTCTAGATGGAGGAGAATGAGAGGATGAGAGCATTGCAACCAATAAACATATATCACATAATTAAACCTGCAATATCTCTGCTCCACTTATCTGGAACAAATTCACAGAACACTAAGAGGGCTAAAAGTTTGTCTGTTTGTCTTTATCTGTTAACACCAGACGTGATTTGAGCATTAAAAGCAGCAGGGTTACATGCAAAGTCTATAGTGCATCAAAGCGCATTGAAAGGTCTCTGCACCGCATCTTTATGCATCTCAGCATGTGAAGCAGCGCCTCATAGCCTCAACATCAGCAGCTGCTGGAGTTAAAAAAATTGAACCTTTGCTGCTCGATGCGTCACATCAGCCAATCAGGCAAGCTGATCTGGGAGCTGGCAGGGAGACGGACACAGCGCTGCTAATGCAGAGCGCTATGATCACTCATCTAAAGCAGTTTTTTAACGCCTACATTAACTTAAAATGTAGAAACCTGCTGGCAGAATATGTTCGCTTTTATTATCCTGCTGCCTGCAGTTTGAACCTGAAAAACTCTAACGTCTACTTCCAGCTGCTACCAGTTGTAGTTGACCTGTTCTGAGGCAGCTGATTCCCAGTCACAGCGCACTGCTGGTATATGGGGGTCTGAGCGGCTCTGACAGAAATCTTTGAAGGCAGGATGGTAATCTGGATGAACTGATGGCACAGACCATGTTTACAGGAGGACTTTCTCACTTCTACTTAATTTAGTTAACAATAAATTCAGTAGGAAAGTTACTTTTGTTCTAGAGTCACGCAGGAGGATGATAAGCAAATAAGTTTTAACAACTCAAATTTTATTTTCTTCTCCCCCCAAAAAAAATCCAGATAACACCATTTACCTTACCATAATTTAGAATATAACTTAAAATATCCAACCTTATAGAGGGATTATCAGGCAGCGTCACTCCACGTCACTTCCGGCACCAATGCGCATGTCGCCTGCAGAAAGAGCCGCTAACATGTCTTGTTGTGCTGTCGGTTGCAAGAACCGTTTTGATAAAAACAATAAAAAGCGCAAGTTTTACCGAATCCCATCAACTCGCACCCCTTTCAAGGCAAACAAGAGACGTCTTTGGTTGCAAGCCATCAGAAGAAGCGATTGGAACGAGCAGATGATTAAAAATGCATCAATCTGCAGCGATCACTTTATATCAGGTAAGTCTTATCTATAAAAAAGCTAAACGGCATCGCTGGTTTTACAAACAACGTTTTTACATAATTATTAAGTATTACATATATAAACGGGATTAATGAATCGTACAAAACACATTGGAGCATAACTAGCATACAAGCTAATGTACCTTGATTCAGTCTTATCAAGTTGCAACTCATCGGGTCAGCTATAAGTTTTATCATTAACATCATCACGTTGTCTGGTCTAAACTTCTCTGTGTGTGCTGTCTTTTTAATTGATTAGTGTCTGTAATAAAGGTTGATGATGATGATGATTGCGTCAATACATTATTTGTACAGGAGAGGCATCAGATGACATCGAGGGCCCAGACTTTGTCCCGTCTATCTTTCCATACTCAATCCAGCCCGGCAAAGACGGTGTTGCAAAACTGGAGCGGTAAGTATCACATCTGTGTGCTTGATTGTTGTCTGATTACAAGCATGACTCCACATAGTATGACTGGAAGTGCAAATTATTGGGAAATTATAATAATTATTGCAGAATAGAATAGTCACTAGTGTACGGAAGAGGTTTAGGGCCACTGAAAAAAAAAAAGTAAACTGATTTTTAAATTTTATTTCAGTTTAACATGGGAACAAGTCAGAATTCTGACTTTTTTCCCCATACTATACTGAAATAAAATAAAAAAAAAACAGTTAACTTTTTTTTTTCCAGTGGCCCTTATCCTCTAGCGTACTAGTGAGATTAATCAGTTAGTAATGTTCATATTTGTTGCGAACAGGTATTTGCCCACAGTGTGACTGATCACCCAGAATGTAACAATTTGTTTTTTGTAAAGATAAGAATGTAAAATTTGTATTTATTTTTCAGAAGGTATGGTCCCAAAGACTGTCCATGATGACCTCCAGCTGAAGTACAGCCAACTTCATACAGAGTGTGATAACCTGCGTGAGGACATCAACAAACTGAAAACAGAGAATGAACAATTAAAAGAAATGCTCGGGACTGCACAGTTGTCTTTTGCGTCACTGAAGTGTAAAACAGCACAGGTGCTGTTTTTCACAGGTCTAACCAGTGCCCTCTTTAATTGGGTCCTGCAGACGGTCAAGGACAGTGTGGAGGTCATCCGTGGCTCTCTGACCCTAGAGGATCATCTTTTGGCTGTACTCATGAAACTCAGATTAGGACTCACCAACAAGGATATTGCATTCCGATTTAATGTTAACGAATGTGACATCTCTAAAATCTTAAGAAGTTGGCTGCCTATTATGTCTCTGATTTTGAAACCTTTAATCAAGTGGCCAAGTCAGCATGCTATATTAAAGAATATGCCAAAATGTTTCAAACCTAAATACCAGCGTTGCAGGTGCATTATTGACTGCACAGAAATTTTTATTAACAGACCAACAAATTTAACAGCCAGAGCCCAAACATATTCAAATTATAAGAGCCATAACACGGTTAAGTATTTGGTTGGCAAGTCACCTGCAGGAGCAATTACATTTCTGTCTGCAGGTTGGGGTGGGCGTGTTTCTGATAAACAACTTACAGCCGAGTCTGGATTTTATGACCTTCTACAAGTAAATGATGAGATACTAGCAGATCGTGGTTTTACCATTAGAGATGAGCTTGCCTTGCGTGGTGCTACCCTGAGGATCCCTCACTTTACCAAAGGTAAAAAGCAGTTGTCTGCTAAAGAGGTGGAAACATCGAGGCGTTTGTCCAATGTTAGAATACACATTGAAAGAATAATAGGGAGATGGAAAACTTTCCGAATTCTTACTGTTATTCCTTTATCACAGGTGGACCTGTTAGATGACATTGTAATTGTTTGTGCAGCATTGACAAACATTTGCAAATGCATAGTCCCTAGAAAATAAATTAAAAGCCCTTAATATATTGTGCCAAAATTAAGACCTTAATGTTGTTAACATCTATGAATTGAGGTTTAAATGTCATTGAATATTATTTTTTTGAAAAAAATGATTGCCCAAGTATTTTCACTGCATAAGCTCATTGAACATTCAAAAGCTGTGGTTTAAAACATTTTGCAGCAGTTTTGGTTCAAAATGTGTGTTGTATCCAGTTTGCTTTTGAATATTGAGATTTTTCCTCATTCCTCTGTTGTATGATATATTTCAAAATCTTAAATGAAATATGCAGATATTTTGCTTTGTGTTTTGCCATTGAAAAGAATACACTCAATCAGCTGATACCTGTGTAAATATTAATAAAGTATTCAAGAGTCAAGGAAACATTGAAATATATTTATTCTTGTGCATGTAACCAATAATAAAAATAAATAAATAGGGGCGCTGTGGAGCCGCGAATCAAGATGGCAGCTTAAAGTGGATGCTCCGTGAGACCTGCACCAAAACTTCGATAAAACCCAGAATTAGAAACGTAATTTGGATCTGAAGATGTCAAAATCGACCACTCTTAAGGATTGTGATATTTTCACACGAAAACGCGGTTCCCAAAAACCAACTAAAACGGATATTTCGGGAAAAGAGCAGGACAAAGAAGGTGCCGCTAGCATTGATAGCATGTGTGACCTTAGCACCGTACTAGCTGAGCTTCGGTCATTGCATTCAGAGTTCGGTGGATTTGGAAATAAACTGGACAGCATAGATAACCGTATGGGTGAAATGACAAAGTCCATCGCTTCTCTGGAAAAAAACATAGCAGAGGTGAAGCAAAATGTCGCGGCTAATGCTACTAGACTGGAGGAAGCTGAAAACAGAATCGTGTCGGTGGAGGACCTTTTAGAAGCTAGTACGGCTAGTCTGACCAAAGCCCTGAAGCGAATATCCTACTTGGAGACGAAGACCGACGACCTGGAGAATCGAGGCCGAAGGAAGAATCTGCGCCTTTTTGGGCTCCGGGAGAGCGCTGAGGGTCGGGGGCCTTTACTGGAGTTTATACGGGAGATGCTGCCGCGCTGGCTGGAGACTGATAGATCCTTCATCATTGAGAGGGCCCACCGCACCCTGGCACCTCCGAAGCCGAACCAGCACAGAGCCGTTCTCATTCGTTTCCTGAATTTCCAAGATCGGGAATTTGTTTTCCGCTCTACAAAACAACGCAATATTCAATACGATGGGAATAAACTTTTCTTCACTCAAGATCTTTCAGCAGAAACCATCCGACAGCGAGCTGAGTTCGATAACATCAGGAAGGCTTTTTCTGAAAAGGGAATGTTCCGCGGGTTTCAATATAATCCATGCAAAATGAGGATCCTCCACAAGGGGAAGATACAGCTGTTTTCTTCTCCTAAGGAAGCTGGGGATTTCCTCCGCACATACACTGGAGAGAACTGACAGTACTGGTGAGCGGTTCAGTTCCTGAACCACAAAATCAGCTGCTTATGACTGATATTTGTTTTTCTCTGTCTCAGCTGACACGATATCCAGCTAATTTCTGGTGTATGTACACTATATTGCCAAAAGTATTTGCTCACCTGCCTTGACTCACATATGAGCTTAAGTGACATCCCGTTCCTAATCCATAGGGTTCAATATGACGTCGGTCCACCCTTTGCAGCTAGAACAGCTTCAACTCTTCTGGGAAGGCTGTCCACAAGGTTTAGGAGTGTGTTTATGGGAATTTTTGACCATTCTTCCAGAAGCGCATTTGTGAGGTTGCACACTGATGTTGGACGAGAAGGCCTGGCTCTCAGTCTCCGCTCTAATTCATCCCAAAGGTGTTCTATCGGGTTGAGGTCAGGACTCTGTGCAGGCCAGTCAAGTTCATCCACACCAGACTCTGTCATCCATGTCTTTATGGACCTTGCTTTGTGCACTGGTGCACAGTCATGTTGGAAGAGGAAGGGGCCAGCTCCAAACTGTTCCCACAAAGTTGGGAGCTTGGAATTGTCCAAAATGTCTTGGGATGCTGAAGCATTCAGAGTTCCTTTCACTGGAACTAAGGGGCCAAGCCCAGCTCCTGAAAAACAACCCCACACCATAATCCCCCCTCCAACAAACTTTACACTTGGCACAATGCAGTCAGACAAGTACCGTTCTCCTGGCAACCGCCAAACCCAGACCCGTCCATCAGATTGCCAGATGGAGAAGCGCGATTCGTCACTCCAGAGAACGCGTCTCCACTGCTCTAGAGTCCAGTGGCGGCGTGCTTTACACCACCGCATCCGACGCTTTGCATTGCACTTGGTGATGTATGGCTTGGATGCAGCTGCTCGACCATGGAAACCCATTCCATGAAGCTTGAGCTAATCTGAAGGCCACATGAAGTTTGGAGGTCTGTAGTGATTGACTCTGCAGAAAGTTGGCGACCTCTTCGCACTATGCGCGTCAGCATCCGCTGACCCCGCTCCGTCAGTTTACGTGGCCTACCACTTCGTGGCTGAGTTGCTGTCGTTCCCAAACACTTCCATTTTCTTATAATACAGCTGACAGTTGACTGTGGAATATTTAGGAGCGAGGAAATTTCACGACTGGATTTGTTGCACAGGTGGCATCCTATCACAGTTCCACGCTGGAATTCACTGAGCTCCTGAGAGCGACCCATTCTTTCACAAATGTTTGTAAAAACAGTCTGCATGCCTAGGTGCTTGAATTTATACACCTGTGGCCATGGAAGTGATTGGAACACCTGATTCCAATAATTTGGATGGGTGAGCAAATACTTTTGGCAATATAGTGTATAAGTCATAGGTAGCTACGGAGTGACTTTGTTTTGGCTTTTTTTTTTTTTAAATGTATTTTCTCTTCTCGTATGTGGGATAGTTCTATATGTTCGTATAATACTTTTAACAAATACTTTTGTACTTGCTGGTTATGTATGTTACGTTAATACGAAATATCTTTGGTTAAACGCTTCTCAGAAGAGGGAATTTATGGCTATTTATGGGTTCGCTGTATTAATGACTATACTATGGTGTATGGTTCACGGGCACCACTGTTGCTTTTGAAGTGGGTTTCATAGTTCAGCTACTCCTCTTATTAGTGGATTAGCAAAAGCCCCAATTTATTAATCTGAGTAAGGGAGGGGGGGGGAAGTTAAGAGTTATGTGTCATTTTCAGGGTTTTTTTCTTTTATTTAGTTACTTATTTTATTTTACTCAAATCTTTGTGTATTTTCCGTTAACTCAGCATCATGTTTGGTTATTACCTTTCCAAAACAAAAACAAAGGATGGAACAGGTTAATACTCACATCTCTTACATAAAAATTACAAGTTGGAATGTGAGAGGTCTTCGGAAACAAACTAAACTGAAACAGGTTATAAACAGGATTAAGCAACTTAAATCGAAGATAGTTTTTCTTCAAGAAACACATTTAACAAATTGTGAGATAAAGTCTGTTAAAAATAGATGGCCGGGCCAGGTGATATATGCATCATATAATAATTATGCAAGAGGCGTAATTATTTTGATCCATAAAAGCATACCATTCCAAATTGTAAGAACAATAAAAGATTCAGCTGGTAGGTATGTAATTGTCCAGGGTAACATTTTCTCATTTACTTTAAATTTAGTGAGTTTATATGGTCCAAATGAAAATAAGCCAAAATTTTTTGAAGACCTGTTTGTTACTATATCTACTCTTAAAGGACTTTATGTAATTGGAGGAGATTTTAACTGCACTTTAAACCCAAATATTGTCCGATCAATTGGCCCAGATGCTTATAAAAATCAAACTAGAAAATTAATAAGTCAATATATATTGGATATCAACTTGGTGGAAGTGTGGAGAGAACAAAATCCTGACAAAATAGAATTCTCTTGTCACTCTAGTATACATAAGTCCCGCTCACGTATAGACTATTTCCTTGTTTCAAGAGAACTTTTATCCATGATCAAACAATGTCAGTATGACAGCATAGTGATCAGTGATCATGCACCTATCTCATTAAACATGCACATAGAAAACTTGGTGCATAATACACCTCG